AGGTGAGGCTCTGCCTCACCTGACCGCATGTCACTGACTAAAAGTAGATATAAATATATATGAAGTATACTTGTACCAATTTTTAAATTAGAACTTTAAACATACTTGAATATAATTGTACCAAAATACACTTTTAATATATTAAAAAGTATACTTTAAGTGAACAAAATATGTATTTGCCCAAGTGTAAATATACACTTGCTCAAGTGTATATTTAAAAGCCATTTAAAATATCTGTCACAGATATTTTGTGTATATTTTAAAATTGTCATCCTGGATTTGAGTTTCTTGACCCACATGCAAGTTCACACAAAACCAGAGAAAACTGTTCAGTAAAAGTTTAATGCATTTCCAAAAGTACACTCTGACTGTGTTCCAGGAAACGGGATTGGCAGATCAGCTCGGGTTCTGTTCGGATAAGGGAGATATTAGTAGGGACCGGGTTTTGAGAGATCTTGATTGGTTTTGAGGGATAAGCTTACCGTTTTACGGGTGGTGGTTGTGCGGAGGGAAAGGCCAGGATCCGGGAGCGTAAAGATGACCGACGATGGAGTGGGGAGGAGAGCGGCAGGCAGAGATGTTCAATCTTGGCAGGGAACGATTTCCCAGTCCCGACTTGATTCCTGGCTTGAATCCAACAGCTGATCGGTTTCTGAGGGAAGACAAAAAGTTACTTGAAGTCTCTTAAAAAATCCATAACATATTTTATTTTATTTTATTTTTTTTTGGGGGGGGGGAGGGTTAGACTCTGACCAACAAGTGGGACCATCGAGCGATGAGTGACTGTTCCACTGTTTCTTAAAAGTCCAGTCAATCACTTGGAATCAGCTGCCGGTGCGCCAGCCTGTCAGAACTCTCCCCCGAAGATCCTCTGTAGGAAAGAGCACTCACACTAACCCGAATCCTAACAAAAATATATGCTCAAAATAGATATTTTTAAATTAACTTAATGCTTTAAATTATTAATTTCAGTATGTTTTAAATTACATCTCAGTNGTGGCACGGTCTATTTCATTTGATGCTATAATTGACAAATGGGCAAGTGCAAAGTCACGGAATGTAACAATTTAAATTCCATAAATGTTAAAACTCTGACAGAGTTCAGGCTGTTAAGATTTCATATTTCCAAAACACAAAATGTTGAGCACTGAGTGCCCTTGCTGTTAAATATTTGTACTCTAATAAACTTATTTGCTTATGATTGAAAAATTCACCTGATAGAATATGTGAAAATGTATGTTCTAAGTGCATGACTAAGGGAGGAAACCTGAGAAACGGGGCAGAGTGGTTCGGGGGGGGGCAAAGATATGTTCGCATCCACCTCAAATATATGGAGTTGCGCCCCTG